CAAAGACCAGAGACAGAAAGGGCCCCAAAACAAAAAAAAACCCTAACCAAAAAAAACAAAAAAAAAAAAAAAAAAAAAAAAAAAAAACCTAGCAAGTGTGGTCTGGAGAAACAGCTCGGTGGTTAAGAGCACTGGCTGCTCTTGCGGAGGACCTGGTTCAGGTCCCAGTAACCTCATAGTGGCTCACAACCATCTGTAACTATAGGTTAGGATCTGACTCTCTCTCAGTCTCTGGAGGCACTAGGCATGTATGTGGTTGGTGTGTAGACATACATACAGGCAAAGCACTCATGCACATGAAAATGATGTAAACCTATATTTTTAAAAAATTGTGAACAAATGAATATGTTGGGATTTTTGTCTGTTTTAATGGGGTTTTGTTTGCTTGTTTAGTTTCAGGAACTATCCTTAAAATAAACCTAACCCAAGTGGGGGAAGGGGAGGGTTAGGTCCCAGAGGCAGCATCTGTAGAGATCAGCCATGCCTTATCCCTTCACTCACTGCTTAGCTCGGAGTCTTCTCCCATGCAAGTTTATTAATGTAAGGTCTTGCTCAGTTCTGCTGGCTGCTGTGGCTCCACCATATTCCAGTAACTTCTGCTGCCAGGGGCCACCAGAATCCCATCTCAGCACATCTCTATACTGAACCTGAAGAGAATATCTAATACTTAGAACAGTAGGCCAGGTGATGGTTGCGCACACCTTTAATCCCAGCACTCGGGAAGCAGAGGCAGGCAGATTTCTGTAAGTTTGAGGCCAGCCTGGTCTACATAGCTAGTTCGAGGACAGCCAGGGCTATTACACAGAGAAACCCCAGTTTGTAGCCAGTGAAACAAAAGTACTGGTGACCAAGTCTTAGGCTTGTCATTGGAAACAGGCGGTTTTGTGGGATTGAGTTCTCAATCTCTGGGATCTGAATCGAATTAAGAAGTGCCTAGCTAGTCATTCAAAGTATCACTTGTTTGCTTGGCGAATGAGAAAAGAACTTCACGTGCCTACTGTCATGTGCTTGTTGATTATTTGGTGATGTGGTAAGGTAAGCTTCCTGTGCCCTTATACCTACTGTCTTCACAGAGCTTACTTACATTAGGAGAGTTACGTGAGAGAAAAAAACAAGCAACAATGCATTCAGATAATATGACAAGGTTAAGGCATTAGAATGAAGCTTGCATGTTTGGGGTTCAGGGCCAACAGGAGATGTCTTAGTGAATAAAAGCACCCGCCAAGCTTGAAGATAGGAGTTCCATCCATGAAACCCACATGGTGGAAAGAGAACTGACTCCCACAAGTTGTCCTGTCGAGACGGTGCCATGGCATGGCGTACAAACACCCCCCCCCCCCCCCGTCCCTACACAAACTAAATAAAAATGTAATTTTTACTAAGTGTGGTGGTGCATGCCTTTAATCCTAGCACTCTGGGGTAGAGACAAGCAGATCTCTTGCATTTCGGGTCAGCCTGGTCTACATAGTGAGACCCTATCTCATAAAATTAAAAGATGAAAGGAAAAAGTAATGTTAAAATTTGTAGAATAATAGCTATTTTGATTTGGACAGGGTAGTTCAAAAATATCTCTAGTAATTGAGTAGAGACGTGCATACTAAGTAAGGTGCAGACTGCTCGAAGACCAAGGGGAGAGTGTTCTATGGAAGCATTCTGAAGGGGCTGGGGAGGTGGCTCAGCTGGCAAAGCACTGTCTACCACACATTCTTGACAATCTCGTTCAAAGCCAGGACTCACTTAAAGTTCAAAAGAGAACCAGCCACACATGCACAGCGCACACACTCACAGTAGGGAAGCTTGAAACATTCCGGATAAGTCACTTTACTGTTTTATGGCAAAGGGAATAACAAAAGTAGAGGTTTTGAGATGGCTTGTGTAAGTAAAGGCAAGGATGTAAGACGGTGAAAGCAAAGGGCAGAGCAATCTCTTGTTGGCATTGAAGGAATCTGTGTTACCAGACGAGGCCTGGACAGTGGGGGACAAAAGAAGCAGAAGGTGTGGTCCTGTCCTCAGGTTGCTCAGTCTGGTAAGAGGATGGGTGATTGACTAGATGTTTGCAGTACAGATAGATAGGTGATGTACACATGGCCAGCCCACACTGGGGGATTCAGGATATCGCCAAACAGTCGAACATCTGTGGAACACACAGTGCCACTGCTGACTGCTCTGTGGATGTTTTCATGTAATACCTGTGAAGTAGATCTCTAACCTTTTAAGATGGGGACAGTGGTTCAAAGCAGGTAACTTCTTGTGTTTTTAAGTTGCATGGGTGGGTTTTAAACTTGTAAAGTTTAAATCCAGTCTGGATTTGATTGTACTGATGCATGCTGTCACAGCTCTGCCCCTTTCCTTATCCCCTCCTGTTTCTGTAGTTTGTATTCGCATGTGTGTGATTGTCTTTCCTTGGAAGACTACATAAATCTTTCTGAGTGTGTATTCTCAGTGTCTCCTTAGAATGCATCTTGCACCAAGTCATCAGTGTGTAATTTTTGAATAAATAATTAAGCTTTCCTGCTTATTCAAGTATGTTTATTAGCCAGAAGTTAACAAAGAATTTGACTTCTGTCTTTCCTTAAAAATATCTATTTGCCTACTGATAATCTTTTTTTTTTTTTTTTTTTTTTGTACTTTGGATAAGCTTTGTAATGTTTACAATACAAGAAGTTTAGGAAGAATTTAGTAAGAAGGATGCTTTGACTAAATAGTAAGTAGCTATGTGTTCAGGATTCTACTGTTTGAACAGTTTTTGAGTTGGGAGTGGGGTAAAAAGAATATAGCCAGGATACAACTTTTGTGCAGCCCTGATAGTTCATGCCTTTAATCCCAGCATTGGGGAAGCAGTGGGATCTATACAGTAAGACCCTGTATTCCCCCCCTCTCCCCCAAAAAAAGCACAGTAGTGTTACCATTTATCTATAAACTCAGAACTTTAGAGGCTGAGGCTGGAGGGTGGCAAGTTCAAGACCATCCTGGGCTACCTAACTAGACCTTGTTAAAACAAAATGAAGAAGGATTTTTAGGAGACAGTGCACTGGAGGTTGGCTTCTGTGTAAAGTATGGAAGTACAGAATTCGGTATCTTGTCACTTGTGTAAAAGTACATGTTAGTTTTTAAATCTGGACGACTGTTTGCCCTTGGCACAGTCAAGGGGTTTTCACTGTGTGTCTCTGAGTACTTCCTTTCCACACCTAAGGAAGTGGTAAGTATTGAATGCTTCTATAAATCATTGAAAAATTTGTTGACTGCGCAAAGAAAAATTGTAATAAATGTGTTTTGTTTTTAATTCTGTACTTGTTATTTAATCCTGATCCCCTGTAGCTTTTTACCTGCGCCCACTCAGCTATCTCAGGACCAACTTGAAGCTGAAGAAAGAGCAAGATCTCAGAGATCACGGCAGACCTCTTTGGTCTCTTCACGAAGGGAGCCTCCCCCGTACGGGTACCGGAAAGGCTGGATTCCTCGCTTGTTAGAGGTAAATCGGGCTAAACATTAAACCTTTTTCTTTTTCCCAATATTCTCATCCCTTCAAGTATTCCTTCATTTCCTAACCATGCTCTGACATTCTGAATGAACAACATCATTTTTGTACCCAGTTACTGTTGGTTTTGATTTTTAAGATTCTTTTATATGTGTGGGTGTTTGCCTGTATATGTGTACCACATGCATAGAGTGCCCTTGAAAGTCAGAAGAGGGCCTTGTATCCCATGGACCTGGAGTTACAGGTGGTTGTGAGCCACCATTTGGGTCCAGGGACCCAAACCTGAGTTCTCTGCAAAGAGCAGCCAGCACTCTATCAAGCCGCCTCTCCAGCCCCTTGTAGCACTTTCTGCATGGTTTTGGTGTCTGCCTTATAGATGAGGTCGATTCCTTTTTTTCAGTCCACTTCCAGGTGTGTTTATAGTGTCTTTGAATAGAAACACTGCTTAACATCTTCCCCGAAGCTGTCTGCACTGTGTCTCCGTGTTTGCCATGCCTCTGCCCACCCTGTTAGGTACAGAAAATGAGCACCTACGAAGACCCTCCCTGCCTTGCTCCAACATAGCCCTGGGTGTCTGTTGTTTGGGAGTTTGTTTTGTTTGTTTCTGTTTTCAGCTGGTCTTTATGAATTCTGCTATTGAAGGCTAGCCTTGCTGTTTTTAGTAAAGGATTTTGTTCTTGGTTTTGTCCTCTCTGGAATTGGTGAGATGCACACTAAGATAGTTTTCCAAGAGACTAGAATACCTTCCTTCCTGTCTGGAGCCGGACGGTGGTGGCTTGCCTGGTAGAATTTTAGCTACTGCCCCTTCTGAGAGGTTATAGATGTGCTTTGGGGGGCCTTTCCCTGGTTTACAGAGTGGGGAGAGCAGACATCGTTTCCACACATGGGAGCCTTTGGGTGTTATGATCTGGTGGCTGGTGGCTTTGATAGTCTTAATTGATTATCAAAGGTTTCGTATGTCCTGGTGCATCAGAGCAGTTCATTTGGAAATGAAACTGAACCGGCCAGCTAATCTGAAAATGCCGGGGATGCTTCGAGGGGAGTGACTGTTCTGGGAAGAAGGCATTTTGTTCTAGCTTTCAGAGCAAAAGCTGTGATTTTCTGCCAGGCTTAATGACCACATAATGCTAGAGCTACAGTTCTGAAGTGCTGATTATAGTTGAAGAACTCCAACAAATCTGAGCATGTGTCAAATTGATGGTCTGGGTACAGGAAACACTTTTCTTAGGAAGACTTTATTTCTGCCTAACTTACAAGAAAATATCTCTTCTCACTTTATTCTATTGGTTTTCAAAAATTTCAACCCTCTCCAGGCATATTGTGCCTCGGAATTCACATCAAAGATCTAATGAAATAGCATGTGAGAAAAAAAATCTTATAAAAGTGAATTTATTTTTGAATAAATACTATCTTATCGATGAATTTCAGTGTTTTTGCTAACATTCTTGGTAATATGCGTTGAGTATACCTTATGTAATAAATATACTTAGGACCAAAAGTAGTTCAAGTTTCAGGGGTTTGTTGTTGGTTTTGGGGTTTTGGGGGGTATTTACTGATTTAAAACAATTGGGGCAGCCAGACTTAGTGGTCTATACCTTTAAGCCCAGCATTTGGTAGGTAGAGGATCTCTATGAGTTAGAAGCCAGTAAAGTCTACATAGTGAGACCCTTTCCTGAGGGGATTAATTTCTAAATCAATGTGGAGCAGGGGGATATGCCATTGCTCAGAAATTGTTGATTTTTGTTTCATTTTCTTGTTGTTTTAACTAAAAGAAATGTATTTCAAAAGACGAAGCTTGTCTATACCTGGTGAGATTAACTCTGTGGGTAAGGGCACTTGCTCTGTGAGCATGAGGAAGTAAATTTGAATCCCTCAGCACTCAGACAGAGCTGTCGTCCCAGCATTTGGGGGACAGAGGCAGGTGGATTCCAAGAGCTTCCAGCCAGCCTAGCAGAAAAAGTTTCTGGGGCCAGTGAGAGGCCCCGTCTCAAGGCCATAGTGTGCAGAGTGGTAGAAGTAGACACCTAGTAGCCTATTCTGGCCTCTGTGCACATGGGCGCATGCCCTGTACACTGGAGTGTACATCACAGAGTCCAGTTTCCTGGGTCTGCATTCTGCATATGTGCTAGCTATGAGATCTTGAGGAGTCTTTTTTATGAGGACGGTCTCACTGTGTAGCCCTGGCTAGCCTAAAACTTGTTGGTCTCAAACTCGAGATACCCTCCCTCCTCTGCCTCCCGAGGGCTGGGATTAAAGGGGTGTCCCACCTCCCAGTACATTTGCTATTTGTGAACCTGCTCAAGTGTAAGTTAGACTTGATCTACAGAGGCTTTTAGAAATGCTCAACATAGACAAATTATCGGCAGAACACTGTTCTGCTTTAAAACTTGTAGATCTCATTGTTTGAACGATATGTAATCACTGTTAGCGATGTGAGCCTGGCTGGAGGCGTATGTGTCATCCCAGTTGAAATAGGATCACTTTTGCTCAGGAGTTGGGGGTCATCCTAGCTAGCATAGCAGAACTGGCTTTCTAAAACTCACCTTCTATGGTCCATAAGTTTCATTCCTCAAATTTGTAAGATAAGGACCTCAAAGCAGCTGGTTCAGGTGGGCTAGAATTTGGAAACCCATGGCCATTAAAGCCATTTCAAGCCGGTGACTTTGGTTTCTTGTCTCATGGATTCAAGATGAAATCTACAGACCATAGAGGGTGAGTTTAGAAGTATTTATTGTAGAGCTCTTAGAGAAGGCAGAACTAGCTGCTGAGCAGGAGGGGTCTTGTAGCTAATAAGGCTTTATTATTGGATAGAGGTGTGAGCTGGTCAGTCCAGTTTCCACCCCAACATGTCCAGAGTGTGGTTTCCAAGAAAGGAGCTCTCCGTTAGGGAAGGGAGCAGAAGTAAGGAACAACCTGACTTCTCTTCTAGCACCTTTGGCCTCTGGCAAGGATGAAGTTGCTGACAGGCCAGGGACGTTTCCAACTTTTAGTCACAAGAAAAAGAAAACTTGACTTTGCAGGTTCTTTTGGGTTTTGGGGTCCCCCCCAAAAAAAAAAGTCATAGCCAGATTCTATACCCTGATGTTACCACAAGGACGTGGCTAGGGTCAATCCAAGAGAAAAACATGGTGACTCATTCTGGGTCCATTCTGTCTTATCTCATATAGCAGTGAATAAATCACATGTTAACAGAATCTGATTCTAAGAGCATTTCTTGGCATTTCTCCTAGGTTTAGCTCCGCCTGATGCTGTATGTATATTACTGTGTATAATACTAAAACTAGTCTTTGGTTTATACTAAAATTTTTGTTATTTTATTCTAGCCTCTTAACATAAAATGCATATTCCTTGAGACACAGGGTAGATGGCTCCTCCGTGGCTTATTTGTCCAAGTAACCTTAGCATCATTTCCTCTGTCCTCCAAAAGTGAATAGTCCACACTGTATTACCTGGAGAGTTAAGACCACTTGGTGCCTTTGCAAGACGACCCAATTCAGTTTCCTGCACCCCTTCAGGGTGCTCACAACTCCATGTAACTAACTCTAGCTTGGAGAATCTGACCCCCTCTGCTGGCACCTGCACACACGTCACAGACAGACAGACAGACACACACACACCCCTTACTAAAAAAGAAAAAGAAAATGCTTCCCTAAGATCTCTGTTTTCTTGTCACAGAGGCTTTCCCTTGTGTGATCTTTTTACACCGGCTGTCACACATAGCCACTCTACTGAAAGTACAGGCCTCTTCCTAGGACCTGTCCAGTCTTCACGGTGTTTGTGTCCATCCCTTTGCCCGCTAGCTAAACGTAAACTGCACCGAGATACAAAGCTTGGCTCTGCTCACTGCTGTCCCTCTGACCTAGCAGATTCCATAGCTTGAATGAATTGCTGCTTACTACTAAATAGTCTTTTCACTTCTTCTCTCATAATATACAGGATTTTGGAGATGGAGGTGCTTTCCCAGAAATCCATGTGGCCCAGTATCCCTTGGATATGGGGCGAAAGAAAAAAATGTCGAATGCACTGGCCATACAGGTGGATCCTGAAGGGAAAATCAAATATGATGCTATCGCTCGACAGGGGCAGTCCAAAGACAAGGTAATCTCTCACTGGCTTTGTTTATTTGCTTTGTTCTTGTTGATAAATATTTTGTGAAGTTTTATTACATTTTGTGGAAATGATAAATCACTTGCCATTTTGGGTTATGTACAAATAGTGGTGAAGCTGGAGCTGGAGTGGTGGCTCGCTGATTAAGAACACTTGTTCTTATAGAGGACCTGAGTTCAATTCCCAGCACATGAAACCTCTAGTTCCAGGGGTTCTGATGCCCTCTTCTGTACTCCAAGGCACCATGCATGCACCTGATACACATACATATATGAGCAAAACATTCATGCACATAAATAAATCTTAAAAGACAGCAGTGAAGTTGGGGTCTGATGGTAGTTAGTGTGCTCAGGTCCTGAGTTTGAGTCCAGCAGCAAAATAAAATCACTATAAAATATATAACTGTAAAACATACTTAGATTAACTTTGTAACCAACAGTGACATTGTGCCTTGAAATTGTTCACAAATTGATAATAGCTGCTCTTCCCTTTAGAACAGTCCACCATGCATAGCCCAGGCTGGCCTCGAACTCAGATATCTTCGGCTTTCGCCCTCCCAGTTCTGTAGGCCGCACCCAGCAGTGATATTTTTCCTACTTAGGTTTTGTTTGTTTTTATATTTCAGAAAGTTATCTTGTATCCCAAAAGTGCTACCAAACTTGCAAAGTCAAAATCCCATAAGACTTGTAAGAAAAATCAGCTTTGTTTTTGGTCTTGTAAGGGATGGCACCCGAGGCCTCATGCATGCTAGGCAAGTGTTGTGTACTGAACTGTGCCTCCAGCCCCAAGTCAGCTATTACTTTTGTCTGTATACAGAATCCCCTCCATATGCCTGAGGAATATTTACACAGATGCTGGATTTCTTTTCTTTTTGTGGGTGGAACTAACGATACAACCCAGAATGTTTGTGTGTATGCCAAGTCTAGGCTCCACCACTAAGCTACAGCCCCAATTTTTTTGTTTTGTTTTGTTTTTTGAGACAGGGTTTTTTTTGTGTAACAGCTCTGGCTGTCCTGGAACTCACTGTAGACCAGGTTGGCCTCAGGCTTACAGAAATCCACCTGCTCCTGCCTCCTAAGTGCTGGGATTAGGGTGTGTGCCACTGAAGTGTTAGCCCAGTTAAACAAAAAATCGGGAGTCAGATATCGGGGTAAGAACCTGCAAGATCAGAGAAGCAGGGAGCAGCCTCTGGTCCTACCTCTCAGCTCTGCCTTACTACTTACTGTCTCCTCTCTGTCTATAGTCTCCCAACCTCTACAGTCAGCTAGCTCCACCCTCTGACTCCAGGCAAGCTTTATTTGTCAGAGCAATCTTGCCACAAAACTGGCCACCACCACTACTTTCTTATTTAAATAGTTCATCTGGATATCACACAGACTCATGCTACTCAAATTTAGTATCTTAAAAGGTAATCCCAAAACCCAAAATAAAGTTTAAAACAATGTCATCATAATGTGGCTACACTCAGCTGAAGAACTGTTTTGGAGCCTCGCTTTGTTCTGTTTCTTTTGTGAGTGGTACTTGAGAGGAACAGGTTGCCTTGGGATTGATGACTTTCTTCAGTGCCTCGTTCACCTCTCCTGGACTCCAGTTTGACCCTCTAAAGCAGTGCTTCTCAACTTGTGGGTCACGGCACCTTTGGAGTCGGATATCAGATTTCCTGCCTATCAGATATTTATAGTACGATTCATACAGTAGCAACATTGCAGTTATGGAGTAGCAGTGAAATGGTGTTGCACACCTTTGATCCCAGCAGTCAGGAGGCAGAGGCAGGCGGATCTCTGAGTTCAAAGCCAGCCTGGACTACTGAGTGAGTTCCAGGATAGCCAGGGCTACACAGAGAAATCCTCTCTCCAGAAACCAAAAAAGGAAAGAATGTAAATAACTTTATGGTTGGGGGTTTCCGCAACATGAGGAACTGTATTAAAGGGTCTCAGTGTCAGGAGGGTTGAGAACCACTGCTGTAAAGTCACACCCATTGTCCATTGTTCCTCCACTGGGGCTACTGGGCTTTAGAAAAATACAGTCATTCAAATTTTTATCCCATTGTACATTTGTTCCTGTCTACCCTGTCCGGTTGAGAACATGTGACTCTCCCATCTGTTGAGTACAGGGATGGAAGAAAATGCCCTCTGTTTATCCTGTACTTGTCTTTTCCTGTGTCACCTCACTGGGGCACTAGGCATTTTGTCTTTCGCCTGTTTTGTTCTTCCAGGTTACTTGTGGTTGGCATTTGAGTATACTTGCTTTTCTTATCTTTTAAAAGAAAATATCCCGTCTTCCAAGCTCCCTCTAGATACCACTAAACCTCCTCTCTTCTTTTCTCTGCACTGTCCTCAGTTCCTGCCAGTGCTCATGCTCCAGTTCTCTGCTGCACTCCCTTCCCACTCAGCTCAGTGCTCATCTCAGCTGCTTCGCCAGGTGGCTCCGTTCCATAGGAGCGCATTCTCTATGTTCTAATATGATTTGTTTCTGTGACTGCCCTTGGCCCCTCACAGGCTGTCAATTGTTAAAATCTGTGTCCTGTTCAGTTTTCTTTGCCCTTTTATATTACTGTGTATAAGATGCATCTATCTAGAGTCTGTTATACTTAATCAAATCCAAATCTCAATGCATAATTTGTAAAAGAGGACAAGAGGGCTGAGGACTGACCCCAGGGCTTGTGCTTACTAAGCCCTCTACCACTGAGCTATATCCCAAACATATACCTGATTATATGTTTGAATTCCATCAATGTCTTCCTGATCACCTCTGCCAAAAGCCTGGAAGTTCTGTTCCTTGTTTTATATACATACATATCTAATACATATATATTTGTTATGCAGGTAGAACTGGGCATAGTGGTGCACACATGTTGTGCCAGCAGTTGTAAGGGTAAGACAGGAGAGTTACAGGAGAGGTCAGTGTCTCTGTTAAAAAGAAAGAAAAAAAAATTGGAATTTGAGGCTGACACGATGGCTCAGCAGGTCAAGGCACTTGCTGCACTTGCTACCAAGCCTGACACCTCACAGGGAGAGAATCAAGTCCTGAAAGTTGTGCTCTGACCCACAAATATGCACATAAAGTAAATAAAATAAAAAATAAATACTTTATAGGTAGTCTGTTCTGATGGTAGAAGAAACCTGTGGAGAGCCACGTGTGCTGATGCATGTCTTTAATCCTGGCAGAAGCAGGCAGATCTCTTGAGTTCAAGGCCAACTGGAGCTACATAGAGAGATCCTGTCTCAAAAAACAAAACAACAAAAAGACACCTGGTCTCCCTTGCTTTTTCTGATATTTTATTTGCCTGGGGTAGTAGCTTTAACTGTAGTGATGTATGTCTTTCTAGATTCTGTTATGGATTAAATTGTTAAAACTTGGGGTTTCAGTATGTGGCCAAAGAAGGTTTCCAAAACATCATCCTTTGCATAATAAAGGCCTTTATTTATACTGAAGCCACTAAAGCTGAACCCAGAGCTGGTCATTTAGAAAGATAACTCTTAGGTCCATACAACACTTTTGGTTTTTGCTTTGTCTTGTTTTTAAGCTAAAAGTGGATGGATTACTCTAGAATTCATTGAATGACTTAGCTTTGGTTGAGTGGCTGTCATCCATTGACCTCCTAAGGGGGTGCTTCTTGATAGTTCAGAACTGTCTGGAGAATTGCACTGTGTGCAGCGTGGCTGGTGCTACCTGTTGGATGCCAGCAGTGCCCTGGCTACCACTGTGGTCTGAACCAGAACATCCTGCTCATGTACAGAGCCTTTGGAGGGAAGCCAAAGGAGCAATAGTTCCCTGCTTAGAAAACTGTGGGCTTTCTGTTGTAGGAGAAAGAGACTACTTTCTGTACAAAATGGATTGTTAAAATTGATCATCATTCAGGAGACTGGTGTGCAGAGACCAAGAATGAAAACAGTCTGTTTGATTTTGAGTTTGTATTGTAGTATAGCATAGGTTTCCGATTTATTCTAGAGGAAACTAGTATTCTTTGGAACAAGGGAGTGCTCATTGAAATATTAATAGTGAAAGAGCAAGGCCATAAATGTTAGTGGTAGGTAGAAGAAGGGAAAAAAGACTTCATGTTTGAGGAAAGTCTACATGTAAAAGTACAATGCATAAGACATTGATAAGGAAAGAAAAGAGACATTCATAGGGCTGAAATATTTCTTGGGCTACATTTCGATAGAACTTTAAGATGGTGGCGCACGCTTTTAATCCCAGCGCATGGGAAGCAGAGACAGGTGAGTTTGAGACCAACCTGGTCTACAGAGTGCGTTTCAGGACAGGCTCCAAAGCTACAGAGAAACCCTGTCTCAAAAATCAAAGAAAAGGAAGGAAGGAAGGAAGGAAGGGAGGGAGGGAGGGAGGGAGGGAGGGAG